TCATAACGGAATCTCCTGTGAAGAGCATTTGAAGTGATTTGAATAATTTACTTTTGCTTACGTTATGCATGATGACTCGAGGGGCACGCACTAGTCTTTCAATACTACACAGCTTGCTGACCAAATATCTAAAATCTTGCCATTACTGCAGTAAATACTTTAAACACATTCTTAATTTAAATAAATACTTTAATTACCCATAAAATTTTACATTTAAATTATTCCCAAAATAGTTAAATTCTTTATCATTACATAAATTATCGTTAACAATTTTTAATAACTTTCAATACCGCTTAAAGTATTAAAATTAAAATTATTACAGTCTTCAAAGTATTTAAATTACTACAATGTATTTTAAATATCACGCAAATATCAATAGTAATTCCCATTTTTATGTTCTTGAATTTGATTCTGCGTTCGAAATCTATAAAATATTGATATATCTAGGTAGACAACTTTGATAACTCGCCAAGAACTTTTCACAGAATTTCTTCAGAATGATCCCAAGAACTGTTTTAGAATAATTCCCCTTCTCTTAAACTTAGAGGCAAATAAGCTTTTACGAAAATAATATGCAATTCTTTGCAGAACAATCAACACAATTCTTGGAAATAGATTATTTTCGTAGTTGGAAATGCTTAACATCAAATATCAGAATTAAAGTGGACATTTTATACGAGAGATGAGGAGATGAAAGTAAAGAGTTGATAGTTCCGTTATAGTTGGGCAGTGTGAAATTTGTATATAGAAAGTAGAAAGCGAATAAAGGACAATTTCGAGGAAGGTACGAATCGGGTAGAGCATCTCCTTTACCAAGCTCATCAGTTAATGAGGGATGGTGAGAGGTGTTTCCCCCTGCCACTACCGGTAAAAGGGATGATCGCCGATTTGCTCATGTACCTCCGATGTGCGGAAACAGTTCTATCGATTGTTTCACACTCAAGTCGCCATCTGATGTACACAACTACCCGATTCGTACCTTCCTCAAAATTGTCCTTTGCTCGCTTTCTACTTTGTATATACAATTTTCACACTGCCGTACTATAACGGAACTATCAACTCTACTTTCATCTCCTATCTATCGTATAAAATGTCCACTTTAATTCTGATGTTTGATGTTAAGCATCTCCAACTATAACGGAACTATCAACTCTACAATTTAATTTCCTGATCTATCGTATAAAATCTTCACTTTAAATCTGATATTTGACGTTAAGCATCTCCGACTATGTAAATTTGAAGGCTCCTTCCATAAATCCATTTTAAATTTATTCTCTATAGAATTTCCATGCAATCAACCTGAGAAATTTCAAACATTTCTGCTTAGAATAATCTTGTACATCTCCCCTGCATTTAATTGGAAATTCAATTCGTATTCTCCTTGGAATTCCCATAGTATTTCCTCAGAATTCTCAAAACAAAAATCCATCAAAAATAACTTTGAAACTATTCTCAGAATTCCTTTGAGATTGAACCCTCAAAATTCGATTCCATTGAAATTCTTCTCGGAATTTATTTCGAACTCTTTAGAATTTTCTTGGAGGTATCTTCAGAAATCACCCCAGAATTCTTTTAGAACTATCCGCAGAGACCATCTTTGGAGTTCACGGGATTTTCATGGAATTTTTTATCAGAGCTCCCTTAAGCAAAATTTCATTATGTATTAGAATTGGACCTAGAATCCTCATAGAATTTTTCTCAGGACTCTTGTTAAAATGCACTCTCAAATATATTGGAACTATTTCCAAAATTGTTTCTTAGTTTAATTTTGCGTCTCTAATAATTTAAACAATAATCAAAAGCGACGCTCGCATGTGTTAGGCCAAGTTTAACTATATAGGTAAACCTGCCTTAAGATTTAAGTGGAGATGAAGACATCGGTCCTCAGAGCACTTAATTTTACATGAGACTTTCGTAGTGTGTGCTTCGGTATTCTTCTCTAATATATCTTGGTGTCATGCCTAGAATCCTCTAAAATTCTCTTAAAATTTACTTTGGATTTTTTAAAGTTCTTAATCATCCTTGAAATACTTTTGAAAATCTATCAAAGACAAATACCTTTGGAAAGTTTCTAAGGTTTACAATTTATTTTCTGGGAAAAGAGGTATATTTCCCACCATTTTTAATCGACATTGAAAACATTTCCCAATAGTTTTCCTGGTGTTCTAAAGTTTTGCGATTCATTGGCCACCTTGGTTAAAATTTTCAATTTTTTAACAGATATGTGTATTTTGTTAAAACTACTGTAGGCTTTCTTAGTGCCAAGTACGCAATTTAAACATTTTGATGATATTTTTAAATTTCACTCTATTTTAGTAGTGAAAAAGGGACTTAAGTGCCTATTTTTAGGGAAATAGTGACTTTAGTGCAGAGATACCCGATCTTTTTTCAGAAGCCTGCGAAAAAAGGCTGTGAATTTTAGAAATGTCTTTAATTGGGCTGCATAAAATTAGCAGAAGTTTTGCGTGTGATGTAGAGGGGAGGGGGTAGGGGTAGGTCATGAAATAGATACGAAATTTGAAATGTCTGTAAAAGTCATATTCGAACAAAAATGACCTACTTTTAACGATTGGAATTGGGAACGTTAAAAGCAATTAATAAAAAGATAAATTACGATTACACGACAAATGAGGTCAATTCAAAGTTGAGATTAGTTCACTCATATTCTTAAAAACGTAGTTAACTCATAGATTGAGTAACACTTCCCGAGCTTTTACAGGAATTTGTTTTCTAATATGAGCAACATCTCGATGTACATATGAAATTAGTACACGGAAAAAAGTTTTCATGTAGTTTCTATAGGGCATGTACATCATATTTTTCCATTAACAAAACCAATGATATCTATCTGAATTTCACATAACATGAGTTCTATATGGTTTTGTTTTGTTAATTACTATATTTGTACAGGCTCAATCGAATAAACTTTACAGAGCCAAGTTATCATTTGCTTTATGCATTATAAATGTCTTAAATCTAAAATTAAAGGATTTGACCGATTACTCGAGGTCTTCTCGAGGTTAGTGAATGACAATTGTTTGGATCGGGAGAGGGGAAAGGAGTTCTATATGATAAATCACTTAAATTTCATTTGACACATAAGGTTCATGTGATTTTGTGGTGCAATTCCAATGAATATTTTCCATTGGATATGTGATTTATTCTTTTAGTGTGTACTTCTAAAATGAATAAATTTTTCGTTGATTTTCGTCATATTCGAAAAGATTTATGAGACTCAGAAAATTTTACAAGTAAACTACGTTTTCTAGAGTTTGAGTAATTTAAGCTTAAATTTGAGTCGATTGTATATGCCATGTAGTGTGGAAATCCGTTAGTTACTTAGTACTGGTTCTTTTGCACCCCAGCAGCGCGGGAACGAGCACATCATAGTGAGAGATTCAACTTTTCACCACCTAAATATTGAGAAATGGACAATCAAAAGAGCAATTTATAAGCTTATTAATACGATTCTAAACACTTCGTGCTCAAAAAGTTCATGTTCAAACTCTGGAAGCAACGATATTTGCCCGGAGATTTGGCAACAGAATTGATGGCCAAACGTGACCAAACCCAAGACCAAACGATAGGTGCCATCGATGCTGATCTTCACTGGATGCCTGAGATTGAGGAAGTCTGTTGAGGGAGCGATGGAAATTAGTAATGACCCGTGGCATATGCGTTTCCGTACTTCCTATAATGTGTGTAATGCACTATACTATTACCTCAAAATTTCAAGAGCACAGCTTCCACAAAACATACAACAATGAAACTTCACATTTGATGCAGCAGACAGGGAGTTCCAATTTCATGAGTGATGTCACAACTGTGTCTGAAATTTGTTCTCTAGAACACTTGAAGTGATAGGGAATTTCAGCCATCATCAGGCAATTTGTGGGTTCTTCAAGGAATCACCATTAATGATTTCTGATCATACGATTTTCGAACAGATTTATCAACCAACAATCCTAAATGGTGGATCAGCAAACATGTAATGACCTTATCTTGCAAACTGAAGCACGCCAACGCAAATCAATTCCACCATCGAATAACTAGGAGAGAATTTTCCCTAGCCGACGGTGTTGTTTATTTGGCAAGGTGAGCTTAGATTTGCGAGAAAAGATCATTACAAGATTTGATTACAAAAGCTGATCCGTCTTTTTGAATTGTTGGTTGAGATTTCACGACGTTCCTTTCGTATAAACAAACGGGTGTCATCGTTACCTGTCATGATACTTATAGAAATGTGAACCGATATAAGAGATAGCACGATTATATCGGATGACTTCGATAAAATGGATTTCTCTGACTATAAATCAACAAATCAAACTTTAGAGTAATTTTTGGCAAATTTTGAATAAATCTTGGATTTTCATCCCCTTTGATTTCATTCACTTTTTCAGTGACAGTGTCTATAGCCAGTCAAGTTATAGACCGGCCAACGTGAGTTGACGTATACAAACAAACCTTCAAATCATATGGAAAATGTTCGTTTTGGATACAAAATGGCAGCACATTGACAGGTCTATAACTATAACCGTCTGTAACAGTGACAGCTCGTTCGCGTGGTGGATTTGAAAACACGCGAATTTCTAATGTGTGTTGCAAATTGCATCGTACGTGTAATTGATAAAAGATGTAAAACAATGTAACACAATAAATTTAAAAATTTTGCCTTGATTACAAAAGTCTGTGAATATCTGTGAAAAAAAAAATTAAAAGTCTGTAAATTCACAGATATGTCTGTAAATCTGGCCTCCCTGCTTTCTGGTGACTGGCTTCACAATAGTGACCAAGTCACTAAAAAGTGGCCTGCTACCAGCTCTGATTGAATGAATAAACCATTTCAGACCCTTCAATTTGTTTCTTTTTTTACGCAATCCTAAGATATAGACGATACATAATTCAAGTCTTTTACCAGTTAATTAATCGCAATATCTTCAGTGTAATTATCATAGTACTTAAACAAAAATTAAATGACAAAGTAACGGCTTGATACTTACGACACAGATGAAAGATGGCATCACACGCGTTGATGTGCGAGAGGAATGCATTACCGAGGCCCTGCCCTTCGGCAGCACCCTTCACCAGACCGGCAATGTCCACTACATTGAGAAAGGCAGGCACTTTGCTGTAATGGAAGAAGATGAGCAGACGCAATCAGTCAACAGAGGGGTAATAGCAATAGGAAATGATGGTCCATCAGGAAGATTGTCAAGAGCCATAGCAAAAATTTGAATACCCCCATCAGGGAGAGCAACTCGATTATTGAATATTTTTCCTCGATATGCAAATAACCTGCTTCGGGTAATTTCGCTAGATTGATTCCAGAAGGACAACTCGCAAGTCATAAACATGCGGGGTGAGAGGTGGAAAATAATTGTTTTCCAAGAAACAAATCTGACAATTTAGCAATTATTATAATTACTTAAACTACTCGGCGCTGCTGCAGCCCGGGGGAACGTTCCAACACTCCTGCCTCGCATCGGGTCGACTACAAATTTGCGACTCTTGACCGCTCCAGTAGCCGGTTTGCTGCGATGCGGCCCACGATTGGTTATTTTGTTGTTACTGCAGCGAGGTACTTTATTTTAATTCTTGCCCTCAACGTGCCACTAAGGGGCGTGGTCAGTTTCTCTGCTTCGCGAAATGAGAATATAGAACGAACCGAACGGTTCGAATGTTGAAGAGTTTCGTGACTAAAACTTGGTGGTATTATTATGACGATTTGACCACTGCTTCCAGAGCACGAACGATTTCTTGATGGCGATTGCGAAGGAAGGAAGGACTTGGTGCAACCATGTTTTAGGTCCACTTTTACTGTTGCTATTTTTAAGGGTTTTTTTTTATGTACTCTGTTGGGGTGGTCCTCGGAGAAACAAATGAATTAACCCGTTTCCTAGAGTTATCTTAAGCACTTCAAAAGTAAAGAATTTGTATTAGTTAAATAAAAACATGCACTCGCAATGCCGAGGCACCATTTTCAAATTCTCGCGTGCAGCGAAACACCCTGTGGGTTGTGGATCTCCTCTCTTAAGAACACGGCCAGCAGCATAATTTCGCAGCGAAACAGCAAACATCGTGTTGAAATAAAATAAAGTAGCGAATAAAGAAGCTAAAACAACAAGCCACTAATATAGCTGCAGCGCGGCCGAAGTTAAATAGTGGAAGGAACATTAATTTATGTATAAATGCGCATATAAAACAAGCGAAAAAAAAAATACGAAGAAACATACTCTCAGTGACCGGACCCCGTCCTTGTGATTTGCACAGTGATGGTGGTGCGAGGCTACACTGGCAAATGAGCAAATATGGACGGCATGCAAGGAAAGATGGCGAATGCATTTGCTTTACGGCGGTCATTTATAGCATGAAGTAACAGTATTAATTTGAAGTAGGTACTGACGCTTGTATTAGTGCATTTTTAAGGCAAAGTTGAGTGTAAGGTAAAGGGCACTTTATTGTAATTTAATTAGAGTAGCATTTCCCAATGCGCAATGCAGTAAGATGAGCCATTTAGCAATGAAAATTTGAATCTCATTGCCATTTGCAAATTCTGTCAAATTACATACTAGCAATTGCTCTGACTTGATTATAGCTCCATAGATAACAACACCTTCATATGTAGGTATATTTTTCCTAATCTACTTACAGCATACAGCCACCATGAACTAATTTCCAATGTAAAACTCAAGTGTAAGTGTAGCTACACAGTGACACGCACCTGCATCTTCTGAAGGCTGTCCAGATCAATTGCTGGCTCACTACTTTCCTGCATCATGTTTTCCCTCTTTTCATTGCAAACGTTAATTGGCAAATTACGAATGTGTACATATTGCATTCTTGGGGTAGGCTTGGAAAAATATTTATATAAACCTAATTATAATAACATCATGCACGTGGAGGCACGATAACAACCTACCGGTCGACCGCTTGCAAGTTTCATGCCTCCGCATCGCATCCCCCCCCTCAACTGCTAATATGATGGAGCAAAGGCTAATCAGAGAATGATAATTAAGGCAACACCTTCAGCCTTCAAGTGTTCTTATACGCTATTTTTAATCAACTGCTTTGCGTTAATATTTTACTGAGATCGATGTTGAACTGACGGGAAGGGGAAATAATACTAGATTGGGTTCCTATTACAAAAATCACTTAAATTGGAACTGGTTCCCTTGCAAACTGGATCGCAACGTGGATGTTTAAAAATAGAAATCCGATTCGATGGTTGCCTTGATGGACTGCTCAATGAACCACAACTCTGCTGAAGGTGAACATTCAGAAGCACTAAATACTTCCACTGAGAATGAGGAGGATCCTGAAAGTTCGTTCAAACGTCAACCGAATACCAGCGTTGAATTGAATCGTTGACTATTTATTTATTTATTTGTCGTCAATCAGTGTGGACCGTTTTACAATAGTGCGGTTACCTTACATGCTATTTTAAAACATACGTTTTATTTGAAATTGTCAATAAATGTAGAATGCTTATACAAATATCTAAGATATAAAAATTGTTTTAAACTCAACGAGATGAAAACCTAGCAGTTAGTGTTCTCCTTACTGTATCTTTAGACATCGTTAGATCTATACGCTCACAATAATTATTATACACTCGCAACATTCTATTGATTGGTCCATTTTTACCTTAATTCGTTCTGTGAGGTGACATTTGAAATACATTTCGAGTTCTTACCTTGCGTGATGGTACGTAAAAATTTAAGCTTGCTAATATTTTTTCTGAATTTACGCGTTGTGAGATAATATCATTAACAAAGGAAATCATGGAAATTTCTCTTCGTTTCTTAAGTGTTTCAATGTTTATCAACATGCAACGGGACTCATAAGAAGGAAGGGGAAAAGAGGTCCAGCCTAGCAAATAACAAAAAATGTTTTTGAACTGATTCTATACGATTTATATAAGTTTCATGGTGTGGAGCCCACCACACTGCAATATTCGAAAATTGATTTCACGTAAGCTATATAAAGTGTTTTGATGGTATATGGGTCTTTAAAATGATAACTAAATCTTTTTATGAATCCCAACATATTATTTACTTTGTGAATTGTGGTATTCACATGATCTACAAATGTCAACTTCGAGTCAAGAATTACTCCTAAGTCCCTAATTTTATCGCACCTTACAACCAGCTGGTTTCATAGAGCACATGTAAAATCTAAAGTAGTGTGTTTTCTGGAATAAGATATCGCACCAATTGTAGAAAACATCAATTTCATTTTTAAAATAAAGCAAATCAGAATCGTTAAAGATTTCCATGTACAAGTTTCCAGCATATATGAGCACATTTAAGCGATTCAACACAAACTACACGTCATCCACAAATAAAATAAATAATATAGGACCTAAATGAGATCTCCGTGGAACTCCCGAGGAAACATTAACTGGCGAGTACATTTTTCCTTTAAAGAGGACCATCTGTTCTGTCAAGTATGATCCAATCCATTTTAAAAGTGTACTTGTCATACCTAAACGTTGTATACAGCTGATAACAAGTTGAATAGAAATAATTTCATGTTTTAGAAATAGTGAAATCTTCTCCTCCCTCTCCCCATCCATAAAATTGTAAATCTCGTCTAACCTCGAGACGACCGCGAGTATTTGGTGCAATCCCTGTAACTCTAGATTTAAGATTAGGATTAAGTATGCCTAACGAAAATGATAGCTTGGCTCTGTAAAGTTTATTCGATTCAGCCTGTACAAATAAATCAATACACAAAAAATACCTCAACGTTTTAATTTAAAAAGAAGTAAGGGAATGTCTACTTTGTCAAAGGCCTTACTAAAGTCAGTGTATAAGGTTTCAACGGTATTACCTCTATCCTTTGCTTCAATAAAAAAGTTTACAAATTCCAACAGATTAGTAGACGTTGACCAACCTTTTAAAAAACCATGTTGATTATTTCAAATGCGATGCTTAACCTGGTTGAATATTTTCTGGTTAACAATTGCTTCACACATTTTAGGAATGCATGACATAATTGCAATACCTCTATAGTTTTTAATGTCTGACCGTGTGCCAGATTTAAATATTGAGACTAAAAATGATTTCTTCCAAATTTTTGGAAAATCACCTGTTTTGAGAGATAAATTTTAAAGCCAAAACAATGGTTTAACAAAACTAGTTGCTATTTTTTTCAAAAAAAAAAAAAAATGGAGGTATTTCATCAGGACCAGGTCCTTTGCCGGCATCCAGACTTTCAAGTCATAAAAATTTCTTTAACAGTGATATTATATTATATTACTGATACGTCATTTTCCCCTTCATGTAGGTAAGAAAAATAGTTCAAATCGACAGCATTCCTGGACTTCTTATATGTGTTTTGGAAAAAACGAGCAAATAGGTTTCAAATAGCCTCACTATCAGTGCTATCACACTCTTCAAACTGCATGCGTGATGGGAATGTACATGACTTCATTTTTTCGTTCGCAAAGTTGAAGAACGTTTTGGGATCAGATTTTATATTGTTCTCTACTCTTGAATTATAATTCTCATATGCTGATGATATTTCTGCCTCAAGTGCTCCGCAAATTTCAACGTATTTTTCTAACTTTTGTGAAGTTTTAAACTTTTTATACGACTGTGCTTTTTGCTTCCTGTTTTTAATATTTCTGATTTCTTGTGTATACCACACAGGGTATTTGGTGCTGTTCATTATTCTCTTTAGTCTTTTAGGAACGAATACTTCAATGATATCGAATAAGTTAGTATAAAATATGTCAACAGCCTTGTCCATGTCGTTTTCATCTTTTAAAAGGTTTTGCCAATTAATGTTATTCAGTCTGCTGTGAAATTCAGGAACAATTGCATTTTTAAAATCATAAACTAATTCAAAATCAATAACGCTTGGGCGTGACCGATGCGAGTCTGTGAACACTGAGTATTCAATAGCCGTATGAAATTTTTCATTCTTCCATAATGGAACTGCTGCTTCTACAATACAAAAATCTTCTGTACAATTAGTAAACATAAGATCCAAATAGGAATGGAGCTCGTTACGAAATTGGTAACAGTAGAGAATCATTATCACTATCCTGTATAAAATTAACAGTATTCTGGTTAAAATCTCCATATACACTGGAGTCGCTTTTTACGCGGGTGATACGTCCCG